ACTTACATTCATAAACGAGAAAAGGCTTTCTATCTATATTGGACATATTAGAGCTCATTCCTGCCTACCAGGACCCTTAAGCGAAGGAAATTATCTGGCACATCTACTAACTCGCCCAGTAGTCTGTACGGCTCTAGAAGAAGCCCGGTGGTCTCATGCCATTCACCATCAAAATGCTTCTGCTCTCCGACTATATTATCGCATATCTAGAGAAGCTGCTCGAGGTATTGTGCGTGACTGCAGCAGACTCACCTGTGTGGATTCCAGACTGTCTAGTCCGACCTTATGTATCACCGCCCTCCGTCTCCGCCTCACCCAGGCACACCTGACCAGTGCCCGTCGGCAGATGTGCAGCCCTGAGCTGGAGCCACCTGTCCATTGGGAGGATCACATGTGCCTCCTTCTTGTCTGTCCTTATGTCCCAGCTTTGCCCCACATCTCCTTTCCTTTTCCTTTTTTTTAATCTGGCTACTTGTTTGCTGGTTCTTTGGCCTTTCTCCTTCTCTCCTGAACACAGCCTTTTCTAGAATCTCCCTACCCTACTGTTCCAGGGAGGGCACCTCCCTTTCTGCCATGACTGGGAGTGTCTGGTATGTGCCCCATACGTGGAGTTGTCTTGTGCCAAGAGCCTGACATCCTGGTCTGAGAAAGCCTGTCCTGGGACTCTCCTTTGTCCTGTATTGGCCCCTCTTGCCCTTGTGTCAAGAGGGACCTTCTTCTCACTATCCAATTGCCCACAGCTGTACTCCTCGCCCCCCCTCCCTCCTCCCCATCCTCTTCAACCCTTGGTGCCCCCTCTTCAGGGAAGCCTTCCTTGACTCCTCACACTAAGCCAAGCCCCTGATATAAGAGCTCTCTCCTTAATGCTGGACTGGCAGGAAGTGATGGGGGATCCAGAAGAATCGATACCCACGGGTCAAAGCATTTCCAAAGAGCAAATTCTTCATGTGCCTCCTGAGACCTGGTACCTCGCCTGACAGGCTGCTCACACATCCTTGTGCTCTTCACAGGGCCTATCAGACACTGGGCCCTAGTGAGGAAGCCTCGGTGTGTTTCCAGCTTGCCCACTAAGGTCAGGGAGGTCAAGGTCATGCTGACCTGAGTGGCCCGGAAAGGAACCTTCTCCTTTGTTCTGTTTACCTTGGTTGACTCACCTTGCTCATATCAAGGAGAGCCGGCGTTTCCTTATCTGTGTGGGTCTGGTCCTCGCTGTGGCCACGGAAGGCAAAGCCCATGAGTGCTGTCCGGGGAGCAGTGTCCCTCAGTCCAGCTGCGGGGAATCACTTCCCAAATCAACCTTCAGTGAGCCTTGTCTCAGCTCTGCATTCGGGGGTCCGCAGGCTCCAACAGGTCACTTCTGGCTGGTGGAGGCCTCAGCTTTTGTGCACAGTAATGGGAAGCCCTTGAAGAGCTGGAAGCAGGTGCTTGATAAGATCTGTTTTCCTAGGGGCTGCTCTGGCTCAATGTGGACAAGGGCAGGGGCAGTGCCACAAGGGCAAACACAGGAAGACTGTGTGGAAGCTCTTGCAGGACGGAAAATGTGAGGGTAGCTGGGAAAAATGTTTGCTGTCACGCTGTCTCTCTCTGTCTCTCTATTTATCGATGACCCTCTCTCACCCTGTAAACAGGCCCTTCTGATCTTAATCAGTCTCATGTCCTACAGTTGATCCTGGGCCCCAGCTGCTGGGTGAGGAAGCCACCTCTGTCCAGCCCAAGCCACCTGTGCAGAAGCTTCCCCCGGGTGTCCCAGGGGAGCTTATGGGGCACCGAGGTCTCAGGGACTTGACTGGACGGGAGAGTGGGAGCCCAGTGAATGAGCAGGAGGAGCAATGGAAGATTTGCTCTCAGAGTTCCTGGAGGACAGGCTCATGGGGAAGGGAAGCCAGGCACCCAGAGCCCAGATGAGCCCACTAATGGACACCACAAAGGCTCAGTGTACCAGTCCACCTTATTGAACCAAAGTCTACAGAACACAAGGTGGGGAAAAACAGAGGGTCTAGAATATCATCGTGTCCAGACCACCTCCCCCACTGATGGAGAGGCTGTGTCTCAGGGCACGATTGATAGATCTCCTTGACCTGCTGGGAGTATCTGCTTTCTCTTTTCTCTTCTTTTCTTTTTTCTTTTCTTTTCTTCTCAAATCAACCACTGTTGTAAGAGAATTTGCAGTTTCATGGTAATTTCTAAGGTGGGAGAAACAGAGGGTCTAAAATATCATCATGTCCACACTACCTCCCCCACTGATGGAGAAGCTGTGTCTCAGGGCCCAATTGGTAGATCTCCTTGACCTGCTGCAAATATCTGTTTTCTATTTTCTTTTCTCTTCTTTTCTTTGCTTTACTTTTCAAACACTGTTCTAAGAGAATTTGCAGTTTCATTGTAATTTCATTGGTCTCTCAGAGCATCTTGGCCCCAATGAGCACCAGCAACTTGTCAAATTTCCACCCACTTCGCTGTCATCACCACCACCATCACCGCCCCATCATCATCATCGTCATCATCATCAAGAAGTCACTGCCTATAGTGGATAACATTGTAATAACTATGAATGATGCCACATGTCTGCTAGACTTAGTGAGTGATCACTTTCTAATCACTAGATTGTACACTTGAAACTAATATAATAATTGTATGTCAACTGTAAGTGAAAAATAAAAAAAAATTTTTTAAAGCCAATCCCGGGGGGTGGGATTGGGGGTGGCCCTGGAAAGGTTAATGGGGGATGCCATATGTCTGCTAGACTTAGTGGGTGATCACTCTCTAATCACTATATTGCACACCCAAAGCTAATATTGCATGTCAACTGTAATTAAAAAATAAAAATTTTTTAAAAGTCACTGCTGGATTTAAATTAAAAAAATAAAGGACATACAAATCCTCTGGTTACTAATGCAGTTCTTTAAGAATATACTTTATTATGCATAGAGGCCTGGTGCATGAAATTCATGCATTTGGGGTGGGGGTGGGAGTTGTCCCTCAGCCCAGTTTGCAATCTCTCCAATCTAGGACCCCTTGGGCCTAAATCGGCAGTCAGACATCCCTCTCACAATCCAGGACTGCTGGCTCCCAACCGCTCGCCCTCCTGCCTGCCTGATTGCCCCTAAACGCTTCTGCCTGCCAGCCCGATCATGCCCTAATCACTCCCCTGCCAGCCTGATCAATGCCTAACCGCTTCCCTGCAGGCCCAGTCACCCCCAACTGCCCTCCCTAACTGCCCTCCCTCTCCTGCAGGCCCAGTCACCCCCAACTGCCCTCCCTCTCTTGCAGGCCCGGTTGCCCCCAACTGCCTTCTCCTGCAGGCCTGGTCCCCCCCAACTGCCCTCCCCTGCTGGCCTGGTTGCCCCTAACTGCCCTCCCCTGATGGCCTGATCGCCCACAACTGCCCGCCCCTGCCAGC